ACATAAAAAACTATAGTTTAAAAATTAAACAATAAATATGCTACAATAATATACAATATAATTTATACATCTGCTTAAAATAATCTTACTATTTTAATAAATAAATTCAAAAGTAAAAGCATTGTAATTATTGACATTAATAATATTAATAAATTGAATAGTTGGAAATCCAAATAATAAAAAATTATTAAATAATTATATAGAGAAATAAAAGCAAAGAAAATATGAAGCATTTAAAAAAATTAAAATTATTTTAAAAATGGATATATAAATAAAAAAAATCAAATTTACAAAATACTAAAAATTATTAAAATACAATTATAGAATAAATAAATTAAATGAATTAATTATTGCCTGGATTCGAACCCGCACCTTCGTCGCTCTCTTTAATCAGCAGTGAATGCGCGTTCCATCTCTACCCACGGCGCCACTCCAGCACTCGTTCTGTCCCTTTCACTCCTATAAGCTCGCTACCTGCTGACCATGCAAACACACATATCAATCACATTTGCGAGGCTATTTATAGAATGCCAATGCACGCACTGGAAAGTGTGCATGTGTGTGTGTGTGTGCACATACATGGAGTCAGAGCTTTGCGCCAAAGCCCAAAAGCTTTTGCCAATTGACCTCACGTTTTCTTTGTGTGTTCGTAATGCATTTACAGCAAATGAATACAAAGCTTCATTAAAGAATTTAACATTATAATTAAATATAAACTGCTTTAAATTGCAAGTTGATACAAATGGTCATTTATAGTAATTTTTTAGTATTTATAAAATCTATAGGATATTTAATAAATTTAATGCAAATTTAGGAACTGTAGCACCAAAAGCTAAAGCTTATCAACTCTCTGCCGCTTGCAGGCGGGCCGAGCCCTGTTAAAGCACATGAAGCCACACGCCCCCTTCTGCCTGTTACATATAATTGAACAAACTAATCATACCCCGAAATTTCCCATTTTCATTGAGTTCATCGCTTTTAGAAAGTGTATATATACATACATATGTATGTATGTATATACATATGTACATGCGTTGACTATGAGCTAAATTTATTAACGCAACTCATTTCCGAAGCAACAACTATTTCATCTGCGGCATGAGGCACACACATACACACACACACACACACACACACACACACACTTTCACACTCCTGGCAATTGGATAGAGTGTTGATGCTGATCACTTTGCCCTGTCCCTGGCCTCAAGTGCTCCTCATGTGGCTTCGCCTCTTTTCCACAGCACAGATGCAAATGCAGAACTTTTCATTTTCATTTTCTTTTATTTTCCTCCTGTTTTTGTTGCTTTTTGGCTATATTTAGCATTTTATCCAGCGTAGCAAGCGGCCTGACAATATGTTTTTAATTTGCATGGCAAACATTTTTGCGATTTTGCTGCACTTGCTGTACTATTTCTACGTGTTTATGCTCGCCCATGCTTGAATCGTGGGTGTATTGAGTTTGATGATGCGTTCAATACTTGCAAATGGATTTGAGTTATCTGTTAGCTTTAAGTCGTCTTGTATGCAGCCAGGGAAGGCGTGGCAAATATATTGATTTCCACTCTCATTTCCCCAAGCGAGTATGACAAAGTCGGTTAGGCCTGACTGCAGCCTTTCTAAGCTGTCAAATTTGTTAACGTGACGCAGGTCAGAAACAGGTAATTGTGATTTATAGCTATTAGCTGAGTAGTTAGTCGTGTATAACTACATACATACATCGCTATATAGTAACTATTTGGACATATGTATGTATGTATGTATGCTTGCATATCCCTCCTAGTACATACCATTAATATTTAATTGAAATTTATGTTTTTGGCAAACGTCGCCTGCTGGCGCACGCTCTGTTGCCAATAACAGCTGCTGCTTTGCCTCAAGTCAATTCAGAAGCGTTTAACACTCGACATATAATACACATTTGATTATTTGTCATCTATATACATACATACATACATGTATATATGTATATAGTCTCTGCAAAGGAAATTGGCCACGCGCCCAAAACATTGCCATCTTTTCGACTTTTCCTTCGCTCGTTTTTCCTTATTTTTTGCCTTTTTTCGCACAAAGTGCGACAGCTTACATCATTGTTAAAATTATCAGATTGTAGACACATTTTGACATGGATGTCGTATGGCCACTTGTCCAGAAAAACGCTGGCACTAAGGTAAAGCATCGCAGCCATCGTCAGACCCTCGCCCGCGCTATGATCTCATTTCGGTCTGCCGTAGACTTTTATTGCGGCTACTTTGGCTATGTGACAAAAGAGGAGACGGCTTGAATTTCACTTGTTATCCACTTATATGTATATATACTTGTGTATTTTAAAATATCTAGTAATTCAGTTAGTAATTACAGTTATCAGACAAATTATTTAGCCTTAACACTAAAATTCAATTAAAAATTTCGCAGTTGAAGCTTAAAATTATAAAATATTATATCTATTTTTTGATTATCATTTGAATAATAATATTTACAATTTTTTAAGTCTTTTACTTAATTTGTTGCATTATAAAATTTTTTTTTATTATATATAAATATATATTATTATTTATTTATAGAGTATTCAGACTACGTTAGCTGGAAAAAGTTCTTATTTTCTATGATGGCTGAATGACGCGCGAAGCTGTCTGCGTTTATTAGGAAAAAAAAGCTTAGCCATTTCCGCAGACACATCATTTTTCCAATAATTTAAATGCCCTCTAAAAGACTCTTGAGAAAAGTGGATAGATACGTATAACAACAGGGAGACATGAGTGAGACGATTCCTAATTCTCTTCGTCTACCTCTATAAATACCTACATATGCATCTACATATGTATATACATCTATACTATAAGGAAAGACCAATAATAATAATAATAATAATTTTGAACATCTCTTTATATGTTTATCCACAGTGAGCGTTCATAATATTTACAGGGTATTTCATAGTCCATAAGAGGGCGGTTTTCTCATTCAGTTCTATGTGAATGGGTTCGCGTTGTCAAAATATCTATATTTTCATATTAAAGCAACATTTTAAAGATGAATAAATAAACACTTAACAATTATCACATCTGTTAAAAAATAAATATAAATTAAATATAAATTGTTCATGCATTACATTCGTCATCAATTTTTAATTCAATAGAAATTCATTCGCCTGAAAATGACTTGCATTTGAGCAAAATGAATAAATTAAATCCTTTTATCCATAGAGAGGGTATATTGATAATATAATTAATATATATTTATATCAATATCTATGTAGATTCATAGAGTTTAGTCAAGTATATGTTTATCAATCACACCATCTCTATACAAATTGAAATCCGATCAACTCAAACTTCAAACTTAACCAGACTCTTAGTGGATCATGCAATGTGTTTATACGACGAGACGGGTATATATGGCTGTCAAAATGTCAAATGATTGCGCTGACATGCGTGCCATGGCCGCAGCTAGATGCAGTTGATTCATTTGTCCCTGATTTGTTCACATTTCTGAAAGGAACAACAAATTTTGGAAAAAGTGTCACTCTGTCACTCCCTGCTCCATCGGGCAGTGCTACGACTATGACCTCTTGACATTTTTACAACCAAACAACGGCCGCAATGTCGCACATGTGCGACTGGTTCAAAGGTTCGACACCAAATTGACTGTATTTATAAACATCTCTAGCAGAGCGACAGCATAGAAGAAAGAAGAAGAAAAACAAGACTATTTTACAAGCAGCCGAACGCAACATAAACGCCCCCAAAATTAATTTTAATTATTCAATTTTTATGGGCACTGAAAATGTGAAATTTAAGGAAAACTCGACTACTTGTTAGGCGGATTTATAGACACGCATACATATGTATATCTGAGACAAAATATATTTATATATATGTAAATTGCATGAGTATAATTAAGTCTCGATTTGAATAAAATACTTTTGAGATTCTTTGATTGCTCACATCTCGAAAACTATATATGCTATTGACTTGAATTTTGAAATATATATACTTACATACCTAACAGGCTGATAATTATTCATTTCCTTCTCATATTTTATTTCATTTTTGTAGTATCGATAAATATAACATGAGGATGTTTGGTTTTTGGCGAATTGATATAGCCATATTTTAGTGAACCCAAGCCTCCTTACTAACCCTGTCAAAAATGTTCTGAGACAGTCCATCTTAATTCAAATCCATATCTATTAGATGCTTAACTTAGTCTTAGTTTCTGTATTGAATGCTCGATAAGCCAGGAAAAAGTTCCCACGCAAAATAACAGCAACCAAATTTACGACTTCATCGAATGAGAAAAATATTTACTAGTCAAATGTGTCCCTAGTCGAGGATCGATCGATAATTGGGAGCGGAAGTCCCTCGTTCATTCACAGCCCTTTCAAATTAAAGCAACAAAAAGACAAACAAACTGAAGCGCTGACATGTCCACATTCGGAGTTTTCAATCAGCTTGCCAATGAGGCGTACAGCCAAACACGCCACGGACTGCACTACGGTAAACATATGTAAATCTCACTGTGTGTGTGTATGTGTGTGTGTGTGAATATGTAGTCATAGTGTGTCACAGGCATGAATATGTGCATCATTAACACCTCGGCAATAATATGGAACCGGGCTTAGGGGGTTGTGAAAGGCTTTTGAAAGGGAAAGTAATTATGTAACTGCTACATATGAGGAATAGAGAATATTGGTTTAGAGCGAGAGTTTTCATATAAGGTTAGGTTGTTAAAATATTTTAGTCTGGAATTGAAAACAAGTAAGAACGTAGCAGTCGAGCTCTACCGACTGCAGAATACTCATTCACTCTACAAACGCTGCTAGTGGGCGGATGGGGAAACTTCCACGCATAACACCAGTGTATGCTCCAAATTTCAAATCTCTAGCTTCATTAACTCGGCTAATACCAATATACTCATTTCACTTTCGTAAGCGAGTATAATGTGTACAGAATTTCAACAAATGTTCATTTTATTTTGTAATGTATAAAAATCTTTAAAATAAAATCACAAAGTAGATCATATAAGACTCTTCATCGAAATTTAGTTGTTACCAAAAACTAAAGTCGATATAATACAAGCTTAGGATCGTACTTTGACCATCATCTGAATATGTTTTCTTGAAAATAATACAAATACCTTCTCCTGCCAGCTAAGCGGAAACAGACTGCGAAGAGGAAAAGGAAATTAATTGAGATATATAGATATCCATTGCATATTTGAGCCACTTCAAAGACTTACTAGAGTAGACGATAGAGGAGACAGAGGAAATCGGGCAAAAAGACTTCACGCTCGTTATTTAGAATACCCTTAACGATGCGACGGGCGGCACCGGCGCCACTGATGAGTGGATAAAAATCGCTGAACTTAATCATTTCATTCAAGTCGCAGACTTCGTTGTTGGTTCGAAGAAACCAGGGCAAAACCGTGCAGACGTGGATGTTGTGGCACTTCTCGAAGGCCAGCTCCAGGCGCAGCGCTCTCATGTGACCTGTGACCCCAAACTTGGTGGCGCAATAAGCGCTGTTATAGGGAAAGGGCAGGACGCCTAAAATCGTAGAAGCAAAGGTTTCAATTATACATCACATTACATAAGTTATAGTTGATGCTTACTGGTGCAGGAACTTATGTTGACGATGTGCCCCTTGTTCAGCTGCTTCATTTGGGGCAGAAACAGTTTTTTGGTCTAGTTGGAAAAATTAAAATTATATTATTTTTATGCCATACATAAAAGTTGACCAGATAAGAGCTATATGATTTGATATATTGAAGTCTTTCTAATTTGATTTTAAATCTTATTTCATGCCCTTATAAAATAAGTGTAATGAAAGTTTTGATACAACTCTAAACCATATTAGTATTATATCAAATGGCACATCTAATTGGAAAATATGATCACTCTTGCTTGGTCCCTCTTCATTTTACTTCTAATATAGCTAGGCTCACCCAGAAATGGGAAGTGAAGTTGACATCGACGATGCGCTGTATATCCTTGGGATCAGGATCCATGGGATTGTCGAGCAATAGAATTGCAGCATTATTTATCAGTATCGTTACCGGTCCTAGATCTCTCAGTATATTCGATTTGAGCTCACTCAGCTCGCTATAGCTAGCCGCATCCACCTGGAAAGTTGCTAAAATGACAACTGATAGCAAAGACTAGATATGTGTATGTATGTATATGGTTAACCTTATATGCCCTGCTGCGCACCGGGTAAGCCTCAGTGATTTGTCGCACTGTTTCTTCAGCGCCCTCCAAATTGATATCAGCTATGGCTATGTGACAGCCCTGTTTAGCCAGCTCTAGGGCTATCGCACGTCCAAGTCCATGAGCAGCTCCAGTTACCTGATGGAGAAATGCATTTATTTGTTGTAATCATATATTCTCCATAGAGGGTAGGTTCCAGACCCCATTGTAGGCATTGGTATATCTAAAATATTAAATGGTGAGACTGGATATGCAAGGTAGAAGACGATACCTGCCCTGAGTTTGTTGTTATACAGAGTGTACTGAATCTTTAGGTATTCACATATTTACAAGTATGTCCGTCTGAGTCTATAGACTAGATATAGTAGCTAAAGCGGATTCACACAAAATTAGCGCTCAGTTAAAAAGTGCTTCAAGTGGATCAATATTTTAATATAAATCGAAATCAAAGTTTGACTTTTTCAAGTATTTCAGGCACGTTTCAAGATCTTGACTCACCACAGTTCATATAAAAATTCTTCTCAAGTCTTCACTTGTATTATAATTTGAAATCCGCATAAATCTTACTTGCAAAGAAAAGAATGAATGAATGATCACAAACATCGCTTCAATTGTGAGTAATGCGATTTTGAATTATCTTTTCAAAATTAGCATAAAATTGCAGAAAAGACAAATGGTCAATTCAGAGTGAATGACCAGAGAAAAATTAGCCAAGCTGTGAATTTCGAATGTGAGTTGCAAATAAATTGATGTGCACTCGCATATCTATTTATAGGGTATAGCTAGACGTAGTTCTCAAGGCAACTCGTTGTCTCTCCCCAATAAAACAAACATAATTATATAGGCGGCTAACTGGCTTTGATCTCTGCTCTTAAATGTTGTGGGTATTTTGTATTCCATATGCCTTAACAGGTGTGTAATTGGCTTAGAAACAAATGTTATTCGACTTAGAGTCGACTTATATATTCTAGCGTATATACTGTGAATCCATTAAAAGTAGCTATAATATAACCGACTAAATGTCGCAGGTGAGACTTTTGAGCCGATATATAAGTGCACTCTATAGAGTCAAATGCGAGTCAGTCTCGACCTCGAGAGCTATTAATGCTAGAGGAATGAATCTTAGCGTATATATTCCCGTTTACAAAATAATATTGAATTTCTTATTGATTTCAACCCATTATCTGACTATGGATCAAAACTGAGATACTACTTGTAGAGTGAGATCCTTGAACAAACCATGTGATGATTTAACTATGTAGTACAGTCTGGAAATTTGCTAAACTCCGATATATCAATGTCAGTTGCATGTACGGAAAGTTCTTTGAGAGTGGTAGATCTAACTAGGCAAAGAACAATGATCGTATCTATTTGCGAAATTATATATGTAAGTATGTATGCATTTATCTATGTATGTATGCAAATAGTCAGGAATGATTGTAGCTCTGCATTGCGCTTATCCCAAGGGCATATCACAATCACTCATTATATTATATTATATTATATTATATTATATTATATTATATTATATTATATTA